AGAATATCAGCAACATTATCATCGCTCTCATCAACTTTAATTTCATCTTTTTTTTTTCTCTTTCGTTAACTTTAATTTTATCTTGACATTTTTACTATGTACATAAACTACACATAAAGTTTATTAGTACAAAGTTAAAGATTTCGTTAAAACATCAAAAAATTCAATTTCCTTATTTCCTACATTTGTTCTAGTAAGCAGATTTAATTTTTAACATAATGTGAAATTTATTATAATAATAGTTATATTTCCAATTTTTAAGTAAAGTTCTTGTCGTTTTTCCTTCATGTTTGATACTTTTGGTATTTACAGTATTTTCAATGATTCATGATAATCTTATTTTTCTAGAACAAGGCTAATTTATATTTTGCTGCATACCATAACATAATGTGTTATTTGGATTAATTCTTCCACTCGACAAAGCACTTGACAAAATGCCACAACTTCCGTGGTTTGCGTTATTCTGATTTATTGACAAATTATCTAGTCCTAATGGATGATCATTTTGTAAATCTGTTGTCATCTTATTTTTTTACTGCTAGGACCTAGTTCTGAGGCTGATGAAACTACTTGATGCTACATCTATTATTACAAGAGCGAAGGCATTCCTTGCTGTTCTGGAGATAATGAAATCCAGTACGGATATGATACTAGTTGCTTGCCAGGCCAGGTAGGTAGGGGGCGGTATAACACATTGTATGTGCATTTGTCAGTTGCTTTAGTGTAGACTACGGTTCTGCATACTGTAATGTAGTCTGAGGTTTATGACCATGTGACTATGGTGAACAAGACATGATCATCATTTTCATCATTTTAATTACCCCCTTTCTCAACATCTTCATTGTGAAACATAATTTTCATCCTCATTATCATCGTAATAGACCTTTCCACTTAGTCCCACAAACAACAACATTTTGTAGGAGAAGACACAGCTGATTGTGCGGGCGCGAGCACATACTAGTTGTTAGGCATTCCGGACAATGTCTGTTTTACGTTTCTGCCGAATCATAAAAATGTATCAGAAAGTGTCTTAAAAAGAGGTCTAAATTACTATTTGCAAGTATACATTCATATAGTTAAAATGCCGGCTCTAAAGTTTATGAAAAATGCTGGCGATTGATCCGGAAGTCTGATCCATCTCCATGGTTTCACATCAAGATTTTAGCATAAAATCTCATCGATTCTTCTTGTTCTTGCAAAGCTGGATAAGGTCACAGAAAATTTTCGACTTCAAAATTAGGAAACTACATTTGTATTAATTATTTCAGGCAATACCTAGTTTAACATGAATTTCACGCCTTCCCGTTCTTGAAGTCCACAATCTGGCCTCTCCCGCAGGTTCGAGTACAAAAATGGGCCTAGACGTGGCCTAGTTAGGCCGACAGTAGTGACATTGTCACTGGCCTAGTCAGGAGGCTGTTTAAATCTGTCAATGATATTTTGGTTAATTTTTATATCATCCAGACCAATTGGGAATTAAAATAGTCGCCATATAAGAGCCGATGTTTTTCACTGGATATTTTATAAATCTATTGGTTTTTTTGTTTTTTTTTGTTTTTTGTTTTTGTTAAACTGTGTACGCTTCATTAAACTTGTAAAATTTTTGTGCCATTCAGCACGCAGTGACCTAAACGAATGTAAACAGAATTACAATCAAAACAAAAGGCATTAAACTAGTGCATTTCATGTAGTGTATTGTTATTTCTGTTCTAAACTTATCTACCGCTATATCTAGCCATATTTATACGTGGATCTGAGACTAAACCAAAGAATGAGGGTCTATAAATCCAATCCATACATGAATCAATCAACAAGGACTTGTATAACGCCAAAATATGTTCAGTAAAAATAATAGTAAAACAAATTGAAGATATGATTTTTGAAAAAAAAATTGTATTTTTGAAGTTTGTGTCTCTTCGTGGTATTGGTGACAATATATGACACTTGCAGTCACCATGCATGGTACTTGCAGTTACTATATAATGCCATATATTTTTTCAATGTCCATATATGATGCATATTTGTGGAAGCTTGTGACGCAGCGTGTGACTTTTAATCAGAAGGCCCGATGCTCGTCACACTGCTTGTGTCCTTGAGCAAGACACTTTATCTGCATTTCGCCTCTCTTCACCCAGGAGTATAAATGGGTACCTGGTAGAAGGTAAATTATTCAGAATGAAATTATTAGTGCTGATTACACGTATAACTAGGAATACTCACCAAGGATCGGAGGAGATTGCACGTTGTGTGACTGATTCTGTAACCTATGACCTGGGCAAAAAGTGCTGTGAGACTATATATGATAAATGCTAAAACGAAATGTAATGAAACATATTATATTTTTTCCCATATTCATCTATTAGGTTGGTGATGTACATTGAGAGAGATAGTCGTCGTCAGAATGGTGGAAAGCAGGAAACTAATTGGGAATACCTCAACAAATGCCTGAGTCTAACCACAAACTATCTTGTAGAAGTCCTCCCACAAGTAATGGGTGAGTGCATCATCCAATCAAAAACAAAGAGTACCTATATCAATCAGTCAAAATCAAGGAATGATTATATAAGCAAATAAGAATCTTTCTGTCTCTCAAAGGTCAATTTTTCAGTCTGTAAAAAATCTACCAGAAACCAAGCCTATCAACTAAATATAACTAGAAATTGCAAATTGCAAGTGAAGTGCTGCGAAGTACAACTGCATAAAATGTTCTTCGAACAAAATTATTTATGCGAGTCAAGTGAAAATAATGAATAATAAAAATATAAC